ACAGAGGTATATATCATGCAGGAAGCTATATGACATCTCTGTCAATCTGCCTTTTAATATCTGTTGGCATGATATTTTTGCTTATCTTAAAGGGGAATTTAATGCTGATCTGAAAATGCTACTATATTCCCCATCCCCTGGATTCAATTAACACAGCAGGTGGAAAATCAACATATTGTGACAACTATTCTTCCATCTCAAAACTATGTAGCAATTTATATTCCAAAATGTCTCAAATACTGACATGATAATTTGTAGCATCTTTGAATGCTTCTTCGTACTAGTTAAAAATTCAGATAAAAGCTAATCTTGCCACAGCCCCTGAAGCTCACAGTGAAAGGCAAAGCTGTGAAAACTTTCTCAGCTCAAAGCTCTGCGACTGCACGTGATGACTTAAGCTGCAGAGTTCCCAACAGGTCTCTGGCAATGCTTACAGGGTTTTTCATGTTGTCACCATGGAAGATAGTGAAAGTGTTAAATAAGTGGAGTTTGAAGGGTCAGATTCTCACCATTCAAAGAAAATGGAACTGTGATGTCTTCCCTCTGCAGCTGATACATTTTAAGCTTCCTGCATCTCAGCACCCACTAGAATTTTGCGAGTTAAAACAAAGATAGGTTTGCACAAACTTACCGGTGTACTCAAACAAGGTACACAAGTGCTACCTGAAGCACATTTTAGAAAATACTTAATACTTCATGTACGTCTGGAGAGAAATACAGCTTTTTGTATTTGGCAACATTGTTGTCCTGTTTCTGATGTGGGTTTTTTTTTTTGTTTTAATTTATTTATTTAAGCTACTGCTCTTCTGTTGCACTTATTTCATCAGTGTGGGACCAAATTCCTCTGATACAATACTACTACTATTGGCTGAGTTATTATCGGATTACATCTAGCTCACTGTTTGAAAGAGCAAAACCCAGTGAAACAATGAGTATGTTACCATTATTATCCTAATTTTGACAGTGTCTGTGATCATGGCAAACTATCCTAGAAGCTCTGTACAAACTCTGACAAAAAGGTGGTTCTCGCCCTAAAGAATCTGTAGTTTAAGTCTCCCCCTGCGTCCCTTCTGGCTCATCGTCTGTTTCTAGGGTTATGCACTTTGCCTCTTGCAGGACCCTCCCACATCTCTAGAACCTCCCTCACCATTTTAGCCGTTAAATATATTGCAAGCAGCAGGCAAACAAGTTGCCTGTGTGCACGTTTTGAGTTGCTGTTTCTCTGATGACCTTCTTTCATGCTCTTTCATCTCTAAATTTAGCTAGCTACTAAAGTGGGAGTCTAGCAGATTCGGTGACACAGGAAACACTTCTGCAGAGACTGTACATACTCACTCTTAAAAGAACAGCACAGACTATGAGACAGTGGAATCACTATGCCGTAGCCAAATGAAGTTTATTTTACGAAATCGCATCTTTTCAAGTCTAATAAATCTTTACAGACATTCACTCAAGACCAACACATGCACCACAAAACCCAAAAGTATTATTTAAGGGTTGACACCCAGAACTCAGAAATCTGCTCACGTTAGGACTGCTGTGTCCGTACTTGAACAGACGACATTGTAACTGCCAGGGACAAGTACACCTTAAATCTGAAATGTAATCTCTTAAATAGCTGCCTCAGTCTCATCTAATGAGGAAAACATACTGGAGAATCACAGGAAACATTTAAGATTGTGAAATAAAGTACTGAGATTCAGAAAAGTACTGTACAGATACTGAGACTGTGACTGAGACACAACGATGTAACTATACCAAGTTTCACAAAATTGCAGAAAAGTTATACCACGTTAAATTCTGGTTTGTTATTTTCAGATACAATAAATACGGTAAAATAGGAAACATTCTGTGTTGTTTGTGTGAGATAAATGACAAGCAGTTTTATTCCCTGGGTCATATATATAAAATCTGATTAAAATATTAACAATCTTTGTGCTTATAGAGATAGTAATGAGATAATTTTAAAGTTGTTAATCACCCTTGTTCTCAGAAATCATACTTCCAGGATTCTAGTCAAAAAGCTTTCCCTTCTTCTTGAAAAAACAGCACAAGCACAGCCCAGAAGATTTGTTAATTCTTTCTTTAATAAAGTGGGCTAGATGTTCTTCCAGAGTAAAGATACAAAGTTCCACGACTAAATGAACACCCAGTCAAAATATGATACTGCCTTTCTGCAGTACATACAACTGACATGACATGCAGGAGACTTTAAACAGTTATAAATTACAGATGTGACAGAGTACAACAGTCTCAGATACGTATCTTAATCCCATATAAGTTTTCACCAGTAATTTGCAATGCATATAATTTTTCTATCTGATTATTGTTATCCATGAACATTATGAGCAGGTCATCTTTGGGGAAAAAGAATAACCTTGTATTTTAAATGACAATTTCTTTCTTTGTATATTCTTAACATAAGGCAAGCCAGGGCGATGACCTTACATTTTGTCTAACTTACAAGCTTCTGACTTAATGAATATACAAAATTGTACCTATCTCTGCATTGTGATCAGAGACAACACATTTGAGGTGTGGAAGGACACAGTATAACCAAAGCAGATTAATTTACTGGAATTCGTTCTGATCATATCTGTATAATCATCTCTCTGCTTCTGAAGATCTTTGCCATATCCCATGGCATGACAGGCATTCAGCTCATCAGTATTCACTGATTAGTCAAAACTTGTTAGAAACTGCCAAAATCTGTATATACTTTTAGCGCTGCTTTAAAATGTGCAATATTAAAGATACAACTAACTTACAAAAATAAAAGAACTGTACAAATCACACTCTTCCATTGGCAATGAGACTATTCAAGAAAACAGCAATGTGGTCCCTGAAACAACCAACCAGAACAGAAATCAAAAGACTGATGCTTAAAAAAATAAAAAAAGAAGTAAAAACATTTTCTCCTGTCAAAGTACTGGAATCTTTGAAGGTTTATGTATCACAGAATATAAAACTTATCTCTCCGTCCCCAGAATATTTCTCTCCTCTTTCCATAGGTACTTCTTGAACAGATACCCCTTTGTTGGTGGTGTGGCGCGAGCCTTGCTGAATGGTTTAAGGCTAGAAAAGCTTGAAAGACCTAAATAAATCAACAGCCAGCTAATCCCCTGGCATTCACACAAACTCAGGGAAATAAAATAAACCTGAAGACAGGCATGCATGCTGAACTCCAAAGCCATTTTCTATGAAGCTTAAAACTAAACCAAAATAAACACCTCTCCGAAATGTTATGCATTTAAGATCTTTGATCTAAACAGTCATCTGACTGTTCATATCGCTCTGTCACAGAGATGTATGATGCTATGCCTGCTCACAACATGCTAGCATTTTGTCACTTTACAAGGCACAAATAATCTCAGAAGAACTACATGGCGGCTTTTGAGCATGTAAGGATACGTCAACTACCATGTAATGACATGACAATTAGCTCTTCATTGCAGTCACTGACACGGACCTTGTAAAACCTAAGACCAGCAAACTACATGTCACCTCATCTTCGGAATACGGGACTGAACTCCATTTACCATTACAGACTAAACAGCAAGTAACTACCATTAACTCCATACAAACACAAGCTTTGCCATGCAGTTATGAAGTTGTTGCATGGTATAATGTATATGCATCTTAAAAGTAAATAATGCAACGTTTTTTTGGTGTTGCTATAAATAGAGTGACTTTCCAGCATTCCTTCCTCAAGCTAGTTCTCTGTAGGTCCTGCAAGAGCAGGCAATCACTGACCACCAGTTTCTTGTCCTGAATTCCAACAGAGTTTAAAGGCATCAGAGACTACATAAATCCCCTCCCTGTCTACTTGAAAAAACTGTTATTAGATGTACTATGTACTTGATGGGAAAGAAATACACTTTTCCATAGAAGAACAAGTTCTAGAGTTAATCAGAAACTTTCTGTTGGTTAACACTACTGCACCATTATATTTTATTTTTCTTGACTAGAAATGTGGAAATCGTATAGGAATATATGTAAACAGAGTCTACAAAAGATAATAGTAATGAGATATAAAGTGCTTTTAATTATGAAAATTTAATTTCACTTTGCACCCTTCCCTGGTAAGTTACCACACTCAAGCTAGTTTTAGTTCAACTGGCTCAGGTCTACACAATGAAATATTGTAATTTCCCTTGCACCTACTGTTTTAACTGTGGTAATCTCACTAAAATAAAAATGCCAGGAGGAGTAAAAGTAGATAGATATAAAAACGGAAAGAGGTGAACTGGGAACTCTCAAGGGGAAAAAAAGCAGGCAAAAGGAAATAAGGCTCTGTTGTATAGGTCCCTGTTCTCAAGGAATTTGTCACACATTCTCCTGTAAGACAGTGCTGAGGAACAACTACATAAACCTCTGCCTTGAACACAACTCAGGTGACTGCCGGATGAAAATGAAGAAACTAGGATTCCCTAACTGAGAACAAGCTTACTGCCAGGATGGTGCTTTTAATCTTTCTGGTATACATTCCCTACTTGTCTAATCACAGTCTCTGAAGAAACAATACCCTCTCCTACTCAGATAACCCAGTCGAGCGTATTTTTAAAAGGATGATATTAAATCAAGCTTGTCTTTGCTGCTTCGGGTCTGATGCCAAGTATCTACACATTTCCTAATCCATTATAGTACCTAGCACATACTATTCTATGTTTTGGGAAAGTAACAGTTCTATAGTAACAAAGCTCCTAAGTAAGATAACTCTATAACTAGGAATAACTGTGTATTAGAATCGGGTTTTACTGGGTCTTTATTTAAGGCAGTTATTAAAAGGTGTCTATTCTTTTTGAAGAGATGCAAATTTGTGTGTTTTCGTTTTGTTTTGGGTTTTTTTGTTTTGTTTTTTAGGCTTTTGGGCAGCTGAAATGGGAAACTTTTATCTATTTGCTGTCCTTCTAATCCAAAGAACTATCCAGCCCGTGGAATCATAGGAATTTGAACTGAGGTGTAATGACCAACTTCCCAAACTCTCCCAACCTGTTTCTTTAGATGTCCAGTGGGCTGACAATAGCAAAGTCAGAATCTTTGCTGTTATTACTACTGTCATCATCAGGGCTGGAGCTCAGGTTGCTGGAGGAGGCTGAAATGGAGCCCATCAGTGGGTCAGAGAATATCAAAGAACGAGATGGAGCTTCTGGCTTCACAGCTGTCTCCTTGTGTGCCTGATGGGACTGTGCTGTTTCTGGGACAGCACTTCTGCTTCCTTCGTCTTCTTTGGAAACCATAATATAGTCATCAGCACTCTTGCTCTCACTCGTGCTCGAATCAGTCGTAGTCTGTGAGACAATGGCACAGAAAGGACTTAAAGTTAGTACCAGTTTTACCACTCAACAAGGTTCATGATGCATGTCAGTGATATGGGAATGGGACAAAGGAATAATCAGTATTCAAAAGTAGCAATACCCGAATCAAGAAGTAAAAAATAAAGCGAGTATTAACTTTGGATGAAATAATGGATCCATTATTTACAAAAGCACAAAAGCTAACATTCTAAAAATACATTGTTGGGTATAGCAGCCTTACATGTTTTGTCATCATAGTGCATCCATGTAGTGATCACAGCACCTAGGCATCTAACATACATTACAGTTGTGAAGCTTTTCAGTACCTATATTCTCACTGCTGTTAGTTTTCTGTAGTAATTCATGAAGTAGTACTGAGGAATTTTTTGCTGCTTTGCATGTACAATGGCATTTTGGAGCTTGTCAGGAGAACAGTTTGATATAAAATTTCCTAGTAAAACCCCGACCTGTGGAATCTGAGCCATACATAGACCTGGTTTAGTGCGCACCAGTTCAGGTTCTTCATCAGATCAGGGCTCCCAGGGCTTCTAGGCTTAGTGCTGTTAAGTAGTTCCTAACTCTACCAGAAAATGAGAGTCTGGGAATCCCTGTTCTGTCTAGTTAGACCTTGGGAAATGTGTGTCCTTGAGCGCTCAGTAGATCAAGACTACATGTCAGTTTACCAGAAAACTCTCTACAAACTCACAATCTTATATTCCAACTAGCCATATTCAGGAGAAATCCAGCTTTTCAACAGTCAGAACTACATGTAATTAGAAAGGAAGACTGCCATACACAGCAGAGCGGGATTTCTCACTTGTTGACAACTGGCAGCCTATCAGCTGGACTGCAACCCAAATGGACAACACTTTGTTTTCTTCTACAAGAGATGTACGTGCTCTCAACCACTGTGTTCCTCTGACAAGAATATACCTGCTTGCTTAGCTGCTGTCACATGAATTTTTTCAGTGCAATAATACAACTTGCCAAGTGGGGACAAGCATCCTGAAGTGGTGTGATATTGAAACCAATATATTTGATTACACTAATGCGAGACTGAGAAAAAGGAGAAGCAGAGGGGCATCTGGGCAAATGTGTATGTCAACACGTGTGTCAACTGCAAGCCCTTCAGCTGTGACTCCTTCACCAAACAAAAAAAATTAAATTCACTTTGGGGTTAAAAAAGACAGATTATAGGTATTGGAGAAAAAAAGAAAGCAATAACAAAAAAGAACAGCAGGAAGAAGCCGAATGAGATGAAGTTAGACCCTCAGTACAGTATATGAAATTGGAGTATGGAGGTCATCACAAGCCCAAAAAAGCCACAACTTGTAATTACAGTAACCATGGCCTCCAGCAAAACTTATTTTGCCAAATTTATTATTACAGCTGAAAACAATTTTCCATTGCTCTGATTACTGATTATAGAGCAGAACTCTCTTGAAAGGGAACTGTAGAGTAGCTCAGGGACCAAAACCCACCAGTGATTAAGAATGACTGTAATAGGAAACGAGGGAGCTGGAAGTCTTTGGTTATTATTTACATAGTTGTTCCAAATTGCTAAAAGTCACAAACAAGATAAACATAATCTGAATGTGAAAATATGTTCAAATACAGAATTGTGACCTGTTCCCTTCCAAGATTTATATGAATGAGGATTCAAATATGTCCCTTTGTAGTAAATTTTTAAAACATCTCGGTTTTATAATTTATATTTTTTGTGTGTTATCTAGATATTATCTAGGTATAATATTATATAGTATTCTGTTTTGTAATTAACCCATTTTAATACCTTCCCATTCAGAGTATTGGTTACAATTTTAAAGGTCCCAATGTAAGACAGTTGTCAAACTGATAGAAATTTACATCTATTTGTTTTTGATGCTAATACATTTTCCTCAGGAGACTAATAAAATTCATACCAAACCAAGCAGATTGCTTTTAAAAATATCAACAGCTATCCTGTGCTGAGTGCTATGAAAACCTGATACCAAACTTCCTGATCTGCATAGAACCAGGGTAGTTCAAATGTCAACAACTTCAAGCACTTTCCATGAAGTCAAAACCAAACAGACCTATCCTACAAGAAGGGATGCTTCACTGTTCAAGCACTTCTGAGCTGAGACCCCCCTTGCTATTAATTAGCCTTTTACTTTCATCTGGTCTGTTTGAGATGCTGCCTCCAACGAGCCGTTAGTCAATTGGCTGCATCTCCAGAGGGCCAAGGACACAGGCAGCACACAGCCACAGCTCTGCTCCACCAGCATGTTAGTAGTCCTCCACCAGCGTGTTGGTAGTCACCTGGCTTTGCAGGCACCTGCTGCAGCCACACAACAGGGCCAAGTAAGGCTTTTTTAGGAGCTCTAAATGCCACGTTCAAAATTTCAGCGCTTTTTTTTCCCCACCCCAACAACAGAAATACACGTTACTTTAAACAACCACTATTGCATAATTCACCTGGCTTCTCTCAACGCTTCTGTTTAAAAGCTCTCAGTGAACTCAGCACGGTCTCATTTTGCAAAGTTATACACTTTATTATTCCAAGCTATCAGGATCATGCTATTTCAGTCCTCGCAGTCTTCACATCTGAGATGGTTCCACCTTGCGTAGGGCGACAGAGATGTTACCTACTGACACACTTGCCCAGCGAGATCGGTATTTTCCTCACTGGCACCCCCAAGGATGCTAACAGGGTGTCTTCCTTCTGGCAGTGACCCCCAGCAAGGGCCTTCCGCCATAAACACTTTGCGCTGGTGTTGCAGTTTCCTAAATTCTGCTTCCAAAAATGTGCTCTTGCACAGTTAAAAAAAGCATCCTGCCCTTTAATAACTGGAAAGGAAAGAAAACTACTCACCCCTGTTTCTTCTCGTTACGTGTTGTGCTTTGGAACACTGCTTTTCATTCTACCCACACTTTTGGTTCAGTTAAAGAGACTTTTAGCTCACTGAGGTACCAGAGAAGCAGCAAAGCATAGATATTGACTCCAAAATGCTATAAAAGGGCCTCCCGTAAATGGTTGCCTATGCATGGCACACTTTGGTATTTTGGTACTGATATTTCCAGAGGTAAATACCTCCTCCCTTCTTCTGCCTGTTTCTGTTTCAGGAAACTCATGCTGACGTGAACCATGTTTTCTCCCATCTGCTGCCACTACTGAATAAATGAAAAATGACAGAATCATACTTCCAGTAGCTTTGAAAGTTAACAACCTTACGTCCGTTGCCATATGGCTTCTCCAAACATTTTTTCCTGATGAATATCAGCTACAAGGACCAGGCTTATTTCAATTGCCTTCATACTGTGAATGAGTTAAAACTAACTGTAAGGATGCAATTCAAGAAGGCTTAGAAGAACAGCAGCTCATTTTGCCTCTTTCTTTGAACAGACATAAAGGCAAGATAATGTGTTAATTATCATTCATTATTTAGCAACAGAAGCCTTCTGTTTGTCAACTGCACACTGCTACCAAAGCCAAACATTCCAAAAAATGCTCTGTTTCTTTGAGTCTTTATCTTCATTTTTTTGCATTTTTAATTTTGCAGCTTTCCTTTCCAAAGAAGGGCTGTATCCTTATCCTCAATTTCCAGAAAGATATTTTGATGCAAAAAAGAGGAAGAGCACTTTTGAAAAAAGTAAAGATGATAAATAATTTATACTTATATAATGACCAATCACAAAAGGCCAGATTTTAATCTGAATTACACGATAGCTACACCTGTAACTTTTCCAGCTGTCCTAGAAAATATCCCTACAATTCCACCAGAGAAAAATCTCTACAGTGTAAGTCACATTGAACAGAATTACATACACTACCAAAGTCAAAGAAAATGTAAATACAGCAAAATTTATTTAGCAAGAAATGCATTAAATGGTTTAGAAGCGGTTGTAATTTTTATTCCCTCTGCAGCTCTCAATTAGTACTGTCGGTTTGACCCAGGGCATCAGTGCAGCCCATTTTCTTCAGCAGAGCTAAAAGCCTGGGCTGTGGCCCAGTTTGGGCCAACAATTGACCCCATCAATTAACAGTCGAGTGTCACAGCCCACTAAATTCAGCAGTTTTAGTTTCCCGTGTTTTATTAAAAGGGGTCCAAAGGTCTCCTCTTTTTGTTTGAATTAGGACACCACAGTTAAAGACGCTGGGCTTGGAAACAGCACAGACATTGGGATACTAAGAGTCCTCCTGGACTGCCGTTTCTAACCCTAACATTTTCTTTTTCTTTCTGTTGTAGGAGTTGCTGCTCATTATCATAACTGGAACTTTCAGAAGATAAGAGGAGAGGAGGCTATTCTATATGAATGCATTGCACCTCCAAACGTAGACCATAGAGCACTGAAGCGTCATTAATGCTCTGCAGGGGCTCAGCTTGTACAACCTCTACTTATGTTGCTTGCAGATGGCTTGCTAGCAGCCTCCGAAACTGTGGGACCCATGGATGCCTCCGAGCTCCTGAGCCTGGAGGTACATACCCTGACTACCCACTGTGGTGAGGCCAGACCTCACTACACATTGCCCCAAAAGTTTCCATTGGAAAGAAACCTGCGCAGACCGGGCTTCATCTGCTCCCCTCCCAGTACTCAAAGTGCAATGTCCCAGCACCTCTGCTCAGTCACACATGTTTTAGACCAGCATCTGAGTAAGGGCTTCTCCAGCATAAGTAGGGCTTGCACACTCTCATACAGCACGTTATCTTATATAGCATTCTACCTTCCAGTTTCTGTAAAAAATCTAAGCAAAAATGATCAAAAAAGTACTATTTGCCATTTTGGCAAGAAAGCAAAAGGTACGTTGTAGAAAATTCTAGAAGATAGAGGGCAAAACTAGGTCATTATACGAACACTCCAATATTCTACATCAGTTTAACCTATGGCTTTATTATGGCAGAAAGTAGTGATCGTGATGACAACAGCTAAACAAGCAATGAAAGCTTTCTGTCAATGCTTTGCTCTTTGAACCTGCCATTACTAAGTGAAAAAACCAAACCACCTCGGTATTGCTTCTAATACTGAAATACAATTAAAATACGATTTTTAAAACAGAGTGTTTTAACTTGGGGATTGTGTGTAATAAATCAAAACAACTCTGTGTCATTATTTGAAAATGAATAAATATTTCCTCTAGTTGCTAAGTAAATTTGTCAAGAGCAAACTGATTGCAGGCTCAGTTAGACTCTGAGGTGATAGCGCTGCCACTGGATTTACAAGTGTGAGTATTAGTATCAGGGTGGCAGACGTAACTTTAGAACTCTAATGCTGAAAATGATACAGAAATGTGCCTGTATGAAAGTACTGTTTTTAAGATTACATTTGAGTCAGACTGAGTCGTAAGACAGAGAGGGACGTTTTAACATGAAAGGAAAATACCTCTTTCTGTGTGTGAACTTGTCCTGTGACTTTGTATGTGAAAACATTGTTTACTGATTCAAGGAGAAAGTCAATACAATGGAGTAGAAGGTAAAAGCAACCTCTTCACTGTTTCCTTTTTGGCATTGGCCATGGATACACTGCAATGCAGATAATCAGCTCTTACATAATGGGATTCTGAAGGACAAGGGCAATGAGAATAATCATATGGGAACATTTGATATGGGAACATTTACCGCCGGTTTTTACATCTTTTTGTAGGAAATTGATCTGGGAAAAGGCTACAACAAAAATAACTGATGGGATTAAGACAGTAGCCAGAAAGACACTTTTAACCATGGGTCCACATTCACCAGCAATGCTGGTGTGTTCCCATATAACATCTGGACGTGCTAAAGGAATTCTCCAGAAAATATCAGACTAATTCCATCAATCACCTGTTTGAGATATTTTTCTCTTATCTGTCGTCCTGAGATGAGCTGCTGCTTTGTCATAACAGGTCCCTTCAGGACATCGACTGTCCCCTTGTTCTGACTGTTGGAACAGTAATGATCATCGGCTATCGTGATTTGCTCATTTTCTTCAGCTTCCAGCTGGCTCTGGTTGAAACGCAGGGAACCTTTCAGGATGTCCTTGATCTGTTGTTGAACGGGAGGGTAAAAAACGTAAGTTAGAAATTTGGAGGAATTCTACATTTTCTAAAGCTCCGTGCTGAGTGCTTTCATACATCATTTCCCCCAAATATTTGCTTTTAATAAATAGGAAGCAAGTCGATATTCATATCTGTATTGGCTAAAGATATAAATATCGTCAAATGTGGTTGTATCAGAGTCTGGAAAAAAGGCATCTAAGAAATCTAAAGAGAAACTGTTAAGATTATTCCGTACCTCGTTATAGAGTTAACATATGTCACATTGTTCCTGATAAAATATATTTCGAGGGAGGACAGGGCAGTATAACCAGAGCTACAGATGCTCAGCAGCATTTTCATTTTATGTACGTGGTATTTTTCTTTTAATTCAATGACATTCAAGTGTTGTCACATTTAAATAATGGGGACATGGGCATGATTATTGCCTAGCGTACACATTTTGCATTAAGAAAAATGACGGTGTGGCTTAACTCCAGAACAGGACAAGGGGCAATGGGCACAAGCTGAGGCACAGGAAGTTCCGTCTGAACATGAGGAAAAACTTCTTCCCTCTGAGGGTTGATGGAGCACTGGAACAGGCTGCCCAGGGAGATTGTGGAGTCTCCTTCTCTGGAGATATTCAAGACCCGCCTGGACAAGGTCCTGTGCAGCCTGCTGTAGGTGACCCTGCTTTGGCAGGAGGGTTGGACTAGATGACCCACAGAGGTCCCTTACAACCCCTACCATTCTGTGATTCTGTGATTCTGTGATTCTGTGATTCTGTGATTCTGTGATTCTGTGATTCTGTGATTCTGTGATTCTGTGATTCTGTGATTCTGTGATTCTGTGATTCTGTGATTCTGTGATTCTGTGATTCTGTGATTCTGTGATTCTGTGATTCTGTGATTCTGTGATTCTGTGATTCTGTGATTCTGTGATTCTGTGATTCTGTGATTCTGTACTGCCTCAGTTCTGGTGTGAGACCTCCAGAACTTTTCAGGGAGCAAATTCCATGCAAGTCATCTGAACTCCTTATAGCCGAGTTTTACCTTTTTAAATAAAAGCACACTGCAACGCTTGATATGTTAGTATTAGTAAAACAGCTGCAACAAGACAAAACAGCAGTATACAGAAAGAATAAAAAAGGAGAAAAAATGGAAAGGATTAATAGCACTGAAGGGTACAAGAAGGTTAAGTTAAGCAATAGTTATACCTGCTTCAAACCAGCCAAGGAAACCAGAATTTCGTCTTCTTTTTCCAAGTGTTCTTGTAATATGACTTCCTGAATATTTCCTTCAACATCAAAAGAAAAAAAAGGTGAAGAGAGAAAATTCCCCAAATAATCTCTAACGTGCTGCCAATTTACCGCTGGCTTACGCTCTCACGACAAAACCCTGTGACCTGCAAACACAGTTTCGCACACAGACCTAGAGTTCGACAACCTTCTTAGCTGTGAGGCCAGCCTAAGGCTGGTCCTGCTGCCAGGAGGACACAGCCATGCTGTGCTGCCGCAGGACTTCTGCCCCAGCGTACCGATGGACTCAGGGTACTGCCAGCCCCCTCTGAGGCCAGTGGAGTTACTGTAAGGAGTTACACATCTTTGACCCTGGTAATGCTTTGGAAAGCGCTCAAGAACATTTACAGGAATCTGCCGCAGCTTAGCAAGGGTCAGGGTAGGAGCTCGGCAACCTTAATCTTGATCCTGTAGCCACTGCGAATGCTAGAACGCTCTTCTTTATAAAAGGGCTGAAACTTTCCTTCGCTTTCCAACCCCTTCTTTTAGGTAAAAGACTCAGTGCTGAGCAAAGTTTATCTGTCAGAAAGAGCTGTGCAGTACCATCACTTCAGAAGACTCCTGCCTTATACACCTATAGAGCTGTCCTCTGTATTTCTTTAACCCGGTGTACAGTGCTTGCAGGAGTCAGGGCTGGAGGCTGGCTAACACATCAGAGCTGGAGCTGTGGTGGCCTTCCCCATGTCAGGGAAATCCCAGGCAATGCTGCAGACCAAACCAGCCCAGAGAAACTATAGGTCTCATAGCTCTGCGGTCTCTTTAAACTATGTCACGTCCTTCTCCAAGCTCCTAGCTTCCTCCTTCCTCCTCAATTCTTCAAGAAAACAGCCATGATTCCTAATGACAGATTTACAGAATGAGATGGTGTCTGTAAACTGAAAACAATAGGGTAATCTTTTGTGCCACTCCTGTCATACACACACAGAGCTGAGCCCAAATCCCTCAGCGACAGCTGTTTGGGAACAACACTTTGCGGCTCAGAAATATCTGTATCCCAGGTGCTTCACAATTAGGGCTCTGTACCATTAATCCACACCTGCGTTGCCTTTGTTTGTTTTTAAAAACATCCCACACGCTCAGGGCCTGAACCAGTGAAAAGCCAAAACTGTTGTCACAGACTGCTGACAAGGACGAATATGATGACACTGCCAACTTTGACACAACCTGAAGTTTCAAATAAAAGCGTTGAGCAATCTGGCATAAGTTTTGTGTTTACAAAATAGATAGCAAAAGAATGAGATGTGGGAGACTGGACAAGAAGAAAGATTAAAAGTAGAGAGGTGGATTTAAAACCCACATATAAACACAGAAGTTTGAAATTGTGTGTGGGCCAGAAATCACTAATGGGTATAAATGAAGAATGGAGAGAGCAAAGAGAAGAAAGGATCCACGCCCAACCACTAAATGAACTGCTCAAGAAGCAAGCTGAAAAGTGGAAGGAATAAAAGAGGCTGGGAGCCATGAAAGGTGGTGTGATCAAGGTCAAGAGCAACGGTGGGGGTCGGTAACTCAGCTTTGCATTAGCAGTCTATCTGAACAAGGAGATCCATGTTTACATTATTTAGCACTCATCATTTATCATATTACAGTGGCAGTGTCCTGCAGCAGCGAAGTCAAACGTAATACAATTGAACTATGTCTAGCATAAATCTTACATCAGAAAGACACTGCATTATGAAGACTAGAAATAATATAAAACTAGATCTTTCTGCAAATATGTAGCATCATGAATTGAGAGAAAGCATAAGTAATTCAACATTGTACTTGCTTTTTTATATTTTACATCTAAATTGTCTTGTCTCAACTTGGTAGATAAAAGATACTAATATTAAATAATACTTTAGATTCAGATTTCCATTGTTTAACAAACAACGTAAGTTTTCCTACTTTTAAAAGGTTCAGAACTTGAAACATCAGAAGTCCAAAGTCTTGATAGGCAGGAAAGCAGTGCTTAGTCACAGCCTGAATCACTGAATTCAACTGTCTCTTCCATTTCTCAGCATTAGAAAGAAAAACATTTCTATAATGTTTGATCCCCACATAAATTAAAACCATACATTAAAAAGCTAAAGTATGCATACTGACTAAGCAGATGGACCAAGAAAATATTTCAGAACTAATCTCCAATCTGCTGAAGACCAAATAAGGGAAATCTGAAAAAAACCCCAGGAAAATAAGAGCAAGAGAACAAAAGCTGAAAGACATTCCATACGATGTGGAAATAATCTACTATTATTTCTGCTCTTTAGAGATGTTTATAAGTCATTATTTCAAAAAATGGAAAAGAATCTATCATTGCTACAGAAACCAGCTGTAACTATGTTGAAGAGCCAGTACACTGACAAATTTCTAAGAACTTATGAATGGAATTATCATAGTCAGCCAGCAGTAAAAATTAATAAAAATGTTCGTACCATCACATATTTACTATAGCAAAATTAATAACAGATTTTAATATTAGTTTCAGAGCAAAAAAGATTAAGAGAGAAGAGGTTGGAAATACAGCAATATTTTCTAACATTGAACTGTTGAATTTCTAACATTTTTCCTTTCCTTTTCCTTCAATTTGCAGCATGTTTTAAAGTACAGTGTGACATATGTCCTTGATATATAGGGTCTATTATTTTTTATCAGTTAAAATCACTAAAATGTGTTTTGGAAAAATTTCCACTTGGAGTTTTCTCTAAGAAACAATTTTGGACTCAAAGAGCACACTGCCACTTAACCCAGAAAAATGCCCCAAGACGTAAATCACTGTAATCAGCCACTTTCCCCCCCGGCCACCCCCTTAAGTAACAGTTGTGACATAAGGTCATAAATTGGGATGTCTTTCTCTAGTATAGTGAAGCAGAATGCAGGTTTCCCTGTGGAACTAGCAATGGATCTTCTTCTAAATATGCCCTTGAACTGCACGTGGCTTCTAACCTACTACCCTCATCCATTTTGAATGCAGAGATTTTTATCTACCACATAAGTGGTAAGTACGGAACCCAAGTTCTCAGTCGTCATTCTTTTTCCCTGACTAATGAGTAGAGAGGAATTACAAAAGGCCAGTTCCTTAGACAAGAGAAGCATACGGGCAATGTGATTGCGCACGATTTCCTCCTCGATCACACCCTTCTGCTGGGACCACCCTTCGCAATCCACATGGGCTGGAAGCAGAGGTGGGAAGAAGAGGAAGGATGGCAAGTGACTCAGTATGTACCTCTGCAGCTGCACTTCCGTGAGTGGCTGTGCCAGGGCTCAGCAGTCCTCACCTGAGGGACTTTCATCCAAGCCTCTTCGCACTGCTGGGGGGACCTCACAGGGAAGCCAGTTGCTTGAACAGGGAAACTAAGCTCTCAAGTGCAGACAGCAGCTTTTTATTTTACCCTTTTGTATCTCAAAAGATACCCTTGTAACTATAAATACATTTAAAAACACTAGCTCTGTTAAGAGTTCTAGGAAGCATGATATTTATTATGATATTGCTCAGCTGAAGGACTTTTACATTAAGCTGAGATGCATCTTTTAATTATTCTTCCTTCACAGGAGATGTTACTGTATTGTGAGAGAAGTGCTTTATGAATATAAATGAATTGGCCATATATTGATTTTTTTCCTTATCTGATGCTCTATATCAGTACCTAACAGCTTAACCTAATTTTTTTTTCATAAAATAATAACTATCTTTTGAAAAAAACCACCCACAGATATCAATTAGGAACTGAAAACACCTTCCTACCTGTAAACCAAACATTGATTCAATTAATTAAAGAAACTGATTATGTGATTTCTAGATTATTCAAAACCCAGTCCAGTTTGAGTCTATGCTATAAATATCTATTTTATTGAGATAGCTGTTGTCATTCAAAAGCTAAAACATCCTATGGTACTTAGAAGACTAAGACTAAGGCCAAAGGTCTGTCGACCTTTGTGTTTTTTTTTTCCCCTTTTATCAAGATGTCATTTAGCTGATGCCAAATGCTTTCTGTAGAAAAAGAAAATATTTCTGTTTCAGTGAAGCTCGTAGCAGAGGAAAACAAAAGGTGAATTTTGCAACCTGTCACCTGGTGATCGGAGCACTGTAGGAGATCGCAGACAGCCATTACACGATTCTGGATTTGTTTCAACACAGTACTAACAAACCTCTAAGTTTCACAAAATGAACTGTCATACCCTGAATTTACTCTTGACTAAGCCTCAGAAACACTGGTGCTGTAAAACCAGTTCTCTTCAGAAGTGAGCAACGTTATCCACTATTATGGCTGCCCTCAAACAAGACTCACAACCTAAGGGATGCCTTTCATATAATTGATTTGAATTAATTTTGGGTACTTATTGTCAAGCGAGCAGATTCAATTAAGTTTGATAGATACTAGACCAGTAAATCAATAACTACTTCCGCAGCGAGACTATGATCAGCTGCCTTGATATAATTTAAAGCCAACTGTAACTACAGAGGATTAACATGCAAATGATTGCATTCTTGTTCTTCTTTTCTACAAAATACAGAAAAACAATGTATCAAGTAGTGATTTGGGTAGCAACAGCTGAAAAAGCTAAAAATCAAGACAAAATGTATTTTTCATTTCTTGCTCTTACAGCTATTCCAAATCGTAAGTAAGTTCACATGCAAACTCACTGTAGAAGTATTTTTAAAACAAATCCAAATTTGTATTTCCTCTCCCTGACTTTATTTCTAAAATTGAAACTGAAGACACGCTGTCATCCTCTGCACAGAGATGAAAGAGGAAAATAATCCATGGCAGATCCTAGCAGGAAAATTAGAGAAGGCTTATGCTCTTTGATGACTGAACTGCTACATATTGCATGATGGTGTGTGCAGTCACTGCTGAGCTCCCTGGCCGGAGAAAGGGGCTGTTCAAAACTGTCCTCTCTGAATGTGGAATAGCTGGTAGGCTTGGCCTAATTATTTTAGATGCTTATTAAGTAAGGTAATTTCCACTGCAAATTTTGCGTGCATTCAAAACAGATTCCGCAAGAAAGCCACCCAGAG